TACTTCACTTGTAATTCTTATGTTAATTATGTTCATAATTACTATAAACAGATGTGGTAGAAATTCATGTGACCTTTCAATGCAGAATGCATTTCTCACTCCTTTCACTTTATTTTAGCACATGCACTAAAGCAAAATATGGAATAAGGAGTGATTTTGACAAGCTGTGTGCGTGTATATGTACAATTTTTAAAGAAAGCACACGTTTCTCAAATACTTCAGTCAGAGGGCCTTCTATATGTCAGTATATTAAAATGAAAATTAAACAAAAAGTTTATTCTGAAATATACTCTGAAAGCCCATGCTTTAAAGAAATATTTTGACTAAATTGAGTTAAACCCATAATTGAAGCCTAGAATATAAATGGGGCACTACATTTTTATTCAGTACCTTTGTTAATGCAGCAGTATTCTGCTTTACAGCTACAAGTATATGACAGTCATACAGCAATTTATTTTACTCACAACCCAGCCATCACCGTCTGTACACAAAACACATCTACAATAAAACCACTATGGATTTCATTAGCAGAAAGCCTACTCAAATTTCATTTCTTTGGCCCTAATCTATAATTAGTGTGGACAGACAGGTGCAAACCCTTCTCTTATCCAGATGGCTACTGGAAATGGTGCAAAATAGCTCCTTCTGTTTAAACAACACACAGATAACCTGCTCTGCTCTTATCACTTACAATTACCTCCATTATACTGAACTAATGTTTACTTTAATAAAATGTCCACTGTTCTTTAAACATTATTTAGAAACTTTTATATCAATGGCAGAAAAAAATGAAGATGGCAATCAATGTCTTTCAGATTAAAGCAATCATTTATTCTGAAATCAAATTTCCCCTTTAAAAATAACTTTGACTTAACATTTGCTGGTCATTTTGCCTGGTATAAAAAAGTAATGCACTGTATTTGGTAGCATGCAGATTTCAGAACAAAGTACTAAATTAGTCCAATATAGTATAAACAAGAAAACAGCAATTATAGTTTTTAAAAATTTATTCAAAGTGTAAAATTTAATGTACCAAAGCAACCAGCTTTATGCTAAAGTTTGGTTTTAAAACTTTTCATTTCATTAGGTTCTATGCTTGTGAAAATGGGATTAAGTAATTTCAAACTAGACCTATTATTTTAGAGACTAAATTTTACTTCAATATACCCAACCCTAATGTCAACACTTGTTTAAACTCCTACCCATCTCTGTAGACAGTTACTAGTTAAAAACATTTGAAACTTACAGGACAGTACTAACTAAAGGGACAAATTTTTGTACCGAGTCAGATTTAAAAGGAATTCCTTCTACATGTCTTTAACCAAACCATGAGAAATAACCTCTACATAATGGCAAGTTCATGTTTTATTTCAGCTGATAAGGCTTCTTGATCTTTGCATGACAACTTGTTTCCACAGAACAAAGAACAAGGTTTCTTTTTTTTTTTTTTAAATTAAAAATGTAAAACCCCTGAAATAGCAAGCAGCCTATCCTTTTCCGGGTAGCTCAAGATTTAACAGTAATGGACTGTGGCAAGTGTATTTGAAAGAGGAAAATGACAATTGCAACTCTCATGCCTCCCTCACTCCCAATGCAAATACTGGAGATGCCAATTTTTCTAGAGTGCCTAGTTATGAAGAGCTATGCAGTTTGCACAGTACCTCAGTGAAGTAGGCTTTGTACTCAATGCCTGTCAGCTGAAGTTCATTTCAGAAAAGTGGAAAACAGGATTTGACAGGAAAGAATGTCCTGAACTGACTAGCCACTGACCAGCACTCCAGGTGGAGCTATTTTTTCTCTTTTCTTTATAAACAATACTTTCAGCATAAAACTCCATCTTCACATAGGCGTACAAAGTGTTAAATCTATACAGATGAAATGCAGGGTGATGTTTTACTGGTTTATTATTTAGGCAAATATTGAGTTAACATTAAGGTGCTCAAAATGGCAGAGGGCAATGTTTTACTTTAAAAGATTTTGGAAAGTATTTAAAAGCTTGAAGCCTATGAAGAAAAACAACTTGTGTAGCAGTTGCCAGCAAGCAGTGACCTAACACTGCTGTCTGCATTCCATTACAAACAGAATGTTTCTTGTCTGTTAGAACATTTTAACAGTTCAGGAACAAAGCAGCGCTAGGTATTCTTGCAAGCACTACAGCAGAGATTCTCCTTCAGAAGTATCCTTCTCTTAACTACTTCGTGTCTGGTTTCAGCCTGCCAGATATTACCAGATTTTTTTTTCACTTGCACTTCTGTATAGTTGAGCTACATACTGTACTTGGGGGTGTGGGGGAACTGATGCATACACCCAAGTGATAATATTTATTTTTAGAGGCTCAAACTTAAGAAGCTGATCACAGACACTCTTAATAATCAAATAATTTATTTAAAAGACTTAATGATGAGATACTAACAAGATATCTCACCAACATGTAGTTACTACACAATAAAATGTGTATACTGTGCAGGTATAAGGAAAGCTACTATCACATCTTTTCCATATTTTTTCTTTTCAAGGGAAGCCCTAGAAATTCATGGTTCCAAAACCAGAACATGTAAACAAGGCACACTAACTTTCTTAACATATACCCAAACTGAAGGAAATTCCCTAATCATATTGGATTTCCTAAGGAAATCTTCCCAGAATAAACTGAATGAGGTTTTCAGACTTCACTGAAGGTTGAGCATCAGTTTTAACCAGTTCGACCATCTCTCTTGGCCAGATTCACTAAAACTTTTCATACAAAGCCATAACAGAAGACCTGGGTATAAACTTAAAAGTTGCAGAAGTCTAAAAATGTTTTTCATCTCAATTGGAATAAACCCCTTGCCTCAAACTATTATGGTTAATAAAAACAAAGCTGCTTATTTAAACTTTGCATTGCATCGTCAGGATGTGAAACTGGAGAAGGAAATGCATGGTCCTAGTAGAAATATTCAGTAAATTATCCTCACCCCTAACTCTAACATATTGTATTTAGAAATATGATCATTATGTTTCTAATTAAATATCCAAAAAGATAAAGCTTTTTAGAAGACCTGCAACATTTGTGCATGTGCTAATATAAGTAGAGAAAAAGTCAACACCGATTAGTTGGTCCAAAAATGAAAAAAAAAAAAATCCTGCTTTGGTCAGCAACTCGGACCACCATCAGGGGATAAATCAATTTGCAGCAGCTGTGGACAGCCATTTAAGTCTAGGGCCTGAACAGATTAATTAGGGGAAGCGATGTTAAAAGTTAAAGGGGTCAGAGTTACATTAAGTACATGAATTTTTGCTAGAACAAACCCCAGGTGCTACATTCCAAGACTCAGAAGACATCCTTTCAGTCAATGGTATCCATGTAGGCTCATGTTTGGCACTTGCCACATTTTTGCAGAAGATAATACAATACTGATGTTTCAGACCGATAACTTTCAGAGAGAACAGACCTAGTTTTCCCCACATGTAGACCATAACAAACCAGTAGTGATTTTTGTATCACCTTTTTGTAGCCTATTTTCAAGGTAGGAATAATAACAATTCAAAGACTGGCAACTATGCATTATGCGAACAACTGAAAATTTAAAAAAGGTCACTTTCAATTTTGTTATGGCTTACAATGGCAAACTTCTTTGACTTCACAGAAGAATTGCTAGTAATTTTACTCGGCTCCCACATGTGACTGATTTATGGGCATAATCTGAACTTCAAAATCTCACACTAGCTGGAGGATCAGTTGGACAAAATAATCGTTTTTTTAATATCTGATTCAATGAAACGGAGAGAGAAGAAAGATGTAAAGGTACAATTAGTGCCAGGGGGGACTGGTACAGGGCATGTGTCTCCTGAAATGCAGGGTTGGTATGCAATGATAACCCTTTGTGTTTTTAATATGAGTGTAGAGCTCTGACTTCTGCTATCCCTAGTCCATTTAATCTGTGGATGTTCACAGCTGCTACAAATTGATTTATCCGAGGCTGGCGACTAGGACTCCTGTCTAAAAATAGCCAGATAGGAACTTTTCGGTGGGGGCGTAGGAGGATGTTTGAAAAGGTCTCTACCTCCTTCCTTCCCACCCCACTTGCTCCAACTTCGGAGAGAGTTTACATGCTAACATTCTCTCTTTTTTGGTAGAAAAGAATTTCACTACGTGCCAGGATCTCTCCTCTTTCTATTTCTTTATGTCATTTTGAATGACAAGGCGGCACAGCCGTGCTGTACAGATTTTAGACTCGATTAACAGACAGCGGAGTCTTCTCAACAGGGAATAACAACTCAGTTGAGGTTGCAAAAGCCTCCCCCCACCCCAGCTAAACTCTGTTTTAGACTCCTTGGGACTTCATCCCTCCCGACTGGACTCGGAGCTCTCAGGCTCATCGGAGGGTGAAGAGTTTCGCCTGTTCAGAGAGGAGCTACATAATGATGGGCTGGGATCGCGTCCTTTGGACCGGCCACCAGATGAGCACCATCAAACTGCGGCAGGGTTTCGGGCGCCTGCCTCGTCTGAAGGACGCGGATCTATTTGCAAGATCGCAGCGCAGCGGAAATAGGACGGGCACTGCCAGAACTGGGTTTCCTTGCAAAATAGCCTGGAGTGATGCTGCCAGCACGACATCATCCCAGGATTGTAAGGCGGGGGGAGAGAAAAACAAGTCACCAGAAGGATGCCAGATCACGCTGGCGAGGCCCTGTGATCCGGGGAAAGGAAGGGGGGTGGGGAGCAAATCCTAAATGGAGACAGGGTCACTGGGATCCGGCAGATGAGAAGAGCATTTGCTTTCTAAGCTGCTTTCCCTGCGAAACCGGCTGTTTGTTTGTTTTTTGCTTTTGCCCTTTGAGCAATGCTGAGTGCAGAGCTGCCTCCCCAGCCCGGCACCGTGCCCGCAACAGCCCCGCTCCCCGCGGCTCCGGTTCAGCCGCGAGCCCCTTTAGCTACAACAATCCTCCAAGACTAAGAGAGAGGGGATCCAGCCTCCCTACCCCCGCCCCGGGGCTCCCGTCCCCTCCTCGGTACTTACACTGAAAAGGACCGGAGATTCCCACCATTCGCCACAGGCTGTGAGCTGCAAATAAAAGTTCCCGTCCTCCTCGGGGGAGACCCGACAGCCCAGGCTGCTGGAGGGGAAAGGGAGTGGGAGAGGGGAGAGGCAGTGCAAGGCAGCTTCCCTTCCCAGTCCAGATGATCCAAGTCAACACGAGGCGAGGAGGAACTCCAGCTGCTGGGAAAGGAGGATCAATGCGAGAGAGACGACTTGTTCCAAGGGAAAGGAGAAGAACCAAAAATAAAGCAAAGTCTCCAAGTAGGGATACTGAATGCCCAGGTCCTTTGCTGCTGCTGCTGCTGCTGCAGACAAATGTGGTCTGGAGTCCAGAGAACGTATAGTGTCAGGGGTGGTGTTGCTGTGTCTCTTTCTAAGAAGGCGATGCATAGATTTGCAGGGCTGCCTTGTCTCTGCCTTGGAAAAGAAGCTCCATGCAGTGTCTGTGCAGATCCGCCCGCAGAAAGACGCCGCTGCGCCTGTGTCTCCCTCTGCTACCAGCCACCTCTCAAGTCAAACAGCATACTGCAAGCAGCCGGCCCGGCTCCACTACCCAGGTGCAGGGGGGGAGGGCTTAAAGCAGTGGGAGGTGATAGAGGTAGGAGACATCTGTGTCGTGAGGAGGTTAGTGGGGGTCAAGTATATGTTAACAATAGGCAAGCACAGTCCCTCTTGGGCAGTCTGCCTACTCTTTCTTTCTCTCTCTCTCTCTTTTACTGGGTGGACATGTAACTTGCTCCCTAATGATGCCTTCCCAAGGCTGCCTGCTTTAAGAGTCCAGACTGCCCTGCAGTAACCCAAGACAAACACTTTCCCTAGCCATCTGGAGAGCTCCTGGCTTCTCTGCCTGTATCTCATCACTGTCTGAAGAGACAGCACTGCTAGAAATCAAGCTACTCTCAGATCTACTCTCTAATCCCCTTCTGTTAGCTGATTTTTCAGTCAGACTATTTGCTTTCGCATTAGATAATAGCCTTAGAGAAAACAATTATCATTT